AGAGCATAGAACAGAAACACTGCTCAAAGCATTGTTTATTGTCAAAGAGGAAACACACCTTAGATCTATTAAGAATTTACTGTTAACTGTGAGCCTGTTTCTATAATTGAGATTTTATGAGTCTTGATATTAGTCCAGATCTACTCATTACAGAGAAAGGGAGAACAACAATGTGTCAGCAATGCTCAGATCCTGCTCCTCTCCCTAGCATTGCACTCATCCATCCCCAGCTCCTCCCAAAGTTGATGGTTTCACCCTCGTGGGGGGTGGGTTATGACAACTCACCAGCACCTACAAGTCCTTTGGGTTTTTTTTTTGCCTACAACTCCACAGCTTCTGAATTTATGATATAATTGTGTCTTTTATGCATGTTTGATACTATTTCTTTGACATTGAGGTCCAGTCACCTGGTAGCAGCGTTCAGGCTCAGCCAGAAGCCCGACCTGCCCTGGTGATGAGGTAGGTCTGCGGTTCAAGCGTGAGCTGAAGTCCCCAAGTCAGGGCAGATACAGCCCTGTCCTCATCAGGCAAGTCCACAGTGACGAGGCAGGGCTGAATTAGTCAGGGTGAAGGTCTGGATCAGTTTCACCTGGACTGAGGACAAGGGCTGAGAATGTCCCCTAGCACGCTCTCCTGAGGGAAGTGGAGGGGAGTCTCTGCTGTTCCAGGAGGCTCTCCTCATGGCTGGCTGCCATGAGCTGCTGAAAATGGTAATAACTAACAGACTTTGATCCCAATTTCTTTTGAAATGCAAAGCAGGCATTTCAGCCACCAGCCTTTCCAATGTTTCATAAGCCTTGGCAATGTAAGGGAGTTTCGTATCTTTACGTTCATGTAATTGAAACTTACTGAGTGTGACAAAGCATTTTTTGTACCATTTTTTAAACTACAACAAAAGACATTTAAATGCCTCTGGAAATCACAGATGAAGCTTGAGAGAGGAGAGAGGACCTACCTTACTAGCTTTTCCCTTTATTCCCCAATTCCTCAAAATGGAAGAAAAACATATATGTCCAAAACATGCAGAATTTTACCATATTTGCATATCAAGATTTAATTACACAAATTAATTTAGTGATACATTGAAGCCTATTTTTGTATTAAATTACCTACCCCTACTTTTAGAGGGGAATACTTTGATAATATCTCTTAACCTTCAAGAGAATAAATGGTGAACCACTACTTGCCAGGTTTCATGAATCTGAGAATGGGAAAATAATTTGTTACACAAATATCTCTGATTATTTTTAGTCCCCAGATGAAGAAAAATGAAACTTCAAATCTAAAACTACAGCTAGACAAACTAAAAGGGTTTTGTAGCTTGAAGCAAAGCTGGTATTGGGGTTATTTAAAATAGCTGGACAGGTTGGATAGAGCATAGTCTGGCAAAGTTTATTTTCCTAGCTTGATTTCCAGGACTGACTTTCACAAGAAAGTAACATAAGCATATATTTCTACCCTGGGCTTGCTCTGCATCCTTTTTAGGCACATTCAGCCTTGCAAGGAATGTTGTACTCCAGGCTCAAGCAGGGCTTGTTGCTCTCAGGGGACTGGAGCCTTGCAACTCAAGATTTGAGCAAGCTAGTGACTGGCTGAGGTTGCAAAGCATGTGAAGGCATTTTGATTCTTCCCTCTCCACAGAGCTCAAGAGTGATGTCTAAGGCTAGAAGTCATTATATCAATGAGGATGATCCTTGAGTCAAGACACACAGCTTGGTCTGTAGGGTTAGCAATTCAAGTGATCTTTCAAAAAGATGAACAGTTCTCTGAAGATTTCAAGAGAAGTAGTAAACAATTCCTGAGTGTAATAACACTGCTCAAGTGTATCAGTCTCAGAAATTTTTAAATATTCTTTGATGTTCAACCAAAAGGAACTTAGATGCTGGGTACTCTGCCTTCAGGACTGAATCCTAGGAGGGCTTCATTTTGTGGCATCATCCTTCTTTATAACACAAATTACTTTGAAAGTGTTTCCTTTCCACCTGGAGTGAATCTATACAAAGCAGCAGCTCTGGTCTTACCTCAGGGCATGACTCCACAACATAAAAGCCTTCACTTGTCAATATTTAATTCAACATTTACTAAATGGTACATAGATGCTAGGCTGATTTCACCGGAAATAACTTTGTAAAGATTAAACTAGGTTTACTCTACATGGAGGGTAATGTTGAAAATAACTCTAACATAATAAAAACATTAAACTCATGGCTCATAAGATTTTTCCTAAATGATGACATACTAGACTTGCATGTGTACATAAGAAAAAATGGTTAAAACAACACTAATGGCCAACACAGTAAAGGTAATTATTAACCACTTTTTCTTGCAAAATAGCTGGAAAATACTTTGCTGTAGCTGATCCAATAAGCTGTCATACAAATCAGCAAAAACTATTTTAAAATATTCAATATTCTTGTTCTATTCCCCCTAGATCTGTTTGCTCTCCTTGTACAGAAGTGTAAGTATTCAGAACTTCGAGGTTTTAAGATGGAAGGACTAAATAAAAATGGTCAGTGTCCTGTTTTTTCTCCCAAAAATGTGGTTTTAGCAGTGCAGGAAGCAGTGCTTTTCCATCAAGGACATACAGCCACAAAAAGACACCAAATTCCAGTTTTGGTGGTTAGACTATGTGAAACACTAGATATTTTCTCTTTCACTAGCAAAGTATTTATGTATATGGTTAATTTTCCTATGGAACTAGCTTAAAACTAAGCTGTATGCTACTCCTTTGCTAGATCAGAACATTTTTGTAAACCCAAAATCTTAGCATCAGTTTGAGCCTGCATTTCCAAGGGGAGCTATCGGCATACAAACCAACTACAACTTTATGTGTAAATGAGCATTCACACACATAGTGACAGACACTGTACAACCTCTGGTTATCACATTTTCTCTAGCATTTGTGTTTCCAACTTCCTAATATTGAAAAAAAGCATCACAAACATTAAAATTTCACAGCTTTCTGTTTGAATAGTCACTTTGTAAGCTTTTAACATAGACTTGCTTGTAATATCCTAATTTTTCTGCTTTGTTTATGATTTCTTTCTTATGTGGTATCTAACAAAGTAATTAATGGTTTGGTTGTGCTAGTTCTTGGTCATGTCTGTGTAAATTGCCCTTGGGATGTTTTCTTTGTATTCTTGCTCAAAATAAAACAGGGCAAACTAATAAACCTGAATCTATAGCTTGGGAAAATTTGGATCAAAGAGAAAGTTTGTTTAGTCTGAAAGGATTAGTCTTCTCATAGAATGAGCTGCTCTTCAGTGATCATTGAATCAATGCACTTTGAACATGCATGTGTGTCCAAAGCATACACAACTATGTAAAACTTGTTTTATAATGTAACACTGCCAGCTTCATATCCCTTCTTTCTTATTTTCCTGTCCCTATGCTAATCATGGGACATCCTGAGCAGAAAATCCTTTCCAGTAGTGACAGATGCTGCCAGGAAGTAGAGCATCTTGGTTTTAGCTTTCATAATCTAATCACCTGGGATTAATTTTAAAGTTGTAAAAATTTCAGTTAAAATGTAGATTATTTGAAATGAAAGTTAAATGTATACAATGTATATATTTGTATAATTGTATACAAGCCTGGAAGGTATCATCTCTCCCTTGTAGCTGAGATATAGGATTTGTTTGAAGCTCACCTGTCTGCTCCCTCATTCTCACTCCAGAGAACAAATCTCCTATTTTCTTTTAGCCATCATGTTACATAGAGCTAAAGTAAAAGACTGTATTTCCTGTTAATTGTAAGATATTAGATTCCAAGTCTTTTTACATAAAATATGCTAGGGGATTTTAAGGAGAACTTCTTTCCTGTTGCTCAAAAGTGGTGTTCTCATTGATTAGCATCATGTAACTGGAGAAGGATGTCTGTGTTAAACTGAAGTAAATCTGATGCTAATATCTTTTGAGAGCCTCAGCAAGGTTTATGTAACAGGGTCAGAGGTGATCTGTAGGAGCTGCCAGAACAATTACAACTTGAAATACAAGTTGTAATTAATAATTGTAATACAAACCAAGAACCACATGCTCAATAATCCCACTTTCCCCAAAAGAACAAAGTTACTTGAAATCCCAGCCAGAGTTTACAGGTTCAGCCAACTCACCTTTGTACAGCTGCTTCTCTACCTAACATCTCTTGGATATTTAACATTTGCAAATTTAGGTATAATCCAACTAAATTACCTATCAAGATCCTTAGAAAAATGCTGATAAGACTGATTTAACATACATTGAATTTTCCAAGACAGCAATATGTGTACAAGCAGGGAAAAGTCAGAGACAGCACCTTTTCAGAATGGAGTGTTCTTATCTCTCTTAGCTTTGGGATGTAAGGCATTTATAACAAAGTCAGAACTTCTACTCCCTTGTCCTGGTCCATATTTTGTTCAATTTTTAAACTAACACTGATATGGAGCTTCTCTCTATGGCACAAAGAAGATGCTTTACAAGGTAAATCTTTTTTATTGGCTACTGTGAGGTTAATTACTGTACAGTGTGTTCTGCACAGTATTGTCCCAGCCTTCTATAATCTTGCAAAGGGGTGACTCCTCCCACATCATCTCAGGTAGTGGCCATTCTTAAAAGCTATTTATAGCTCAAGTATTGGCCCAAGACATCACTGTTAAAAGCTATTTATAGCACGTGGAATGCTGTGGGTGTTCCTCAGTATAATCACTTGTAATCAGGTAAAAATATAAGAATGCAAGTCCTAGCCTTAGGCACTTGCATTTCACATGTCTAATGGCTCAAATTCAGGAAGCAAAGCTTTTTCACGGTTTGTGGTATCTGAAACAAAGACCTCTTGTAGGGTATCACAGCCATACAAGGCAGTTTGTTTTCTATTGGGCAAAAAACAGAGATTGCATGAATTCCAGCTGAAGCGTCATACTATTCTTTGTTTTTACTGTTAATTATTTATTACTTCTGAAATGGTATAAAAGAGTTAAACCTGGCTTTACATTCAATTTGACGACTTAGTTGTCCCTATTTTAGAGAAGAAGGCAGCAGCAGCAATTCTGAAGAGGGCTGCTTCTGAGCTGTGTTGAACTTTGCTGGAAGTGGAGAATACTTCAGGTAAGTGGTGAGTAGCATCTAGAAACTGGACTTGACACTTTGCAGCAAATTTGACAATGTTCTCAAGGGGTTGACTTGGGGAGGGAAGAATAGATTTATCTTGGTATAAACCAGTGTTTTGAAATTTATAAACAAATAATTTCCTGTGCTAGCCAAGTATTCAGCTTCTATGTAACTAGTCATTAACTCCAAAATCTTCCTCTCCTAGTGTAACACATTTCTACGGAAAATAGCTTTAATTTTCACAGGAATTTTTTAGAAGAAAATCCGCCAACACCCAACAACAACCCAAAACAGGACACTTCACTTTGAGATAGAAACTCAGTCTTTCCACCTCTCAGTACAAGAGATCAGATCATGACTTGTATGAAATATTGAAATGCAAATATAATAATGTATCATTTTGCAAAGGAACTTTGGGGTGGATACTATGGGTACAGGAAAAAAAGACATGTTTTTTACCACTATGTAAACTAATTACTTAAAATACAGGTATTTCTGGGAGCTGGGGTGTCTACAGTATTTGAGAATAACTTCTTGTAAATAGTTCAGTACCATGGGAATGCTGTGTCTAATTAAAGTCATACCCCATCTGATACCCATCAATGGTATTTTAATATTGGGACTGCTAGATATTTTTCATAAACACTATAGGAAACATTGATTTGAACCATCTCACTAGAATCAGAATAGATCTAAATTAACAAAACTGCTTGAGAAGAAAATAATCTGTTCTTAATGGAGTTCCATTGTACCTATTTTAATCAGGTAGCTGTGCCATTTACCAGGATCTACATAAGCTGTTACTGCATTGAGGACACAGAAACTCAAAATGTCTTCTTCACATTGAATGTTCTAATTAATCAATCTTTTAATTAATTAATGGTGGATTTCTTGTGTGTGAGTGTGTATTTGTGCTTTAAAGTACCAGGGAGAGGAGCACATTCACACACCATAAACTAGGGGCAGAGGCATCTGTCATGAAGCACAGGCAAGTCCTCAGCTTACATCTCTTACACTGCAAGAGCAGCTCCATTTTTGAAAGGCACAAGCACTCAGCCATGGAAAACTTCTGCTATAGCCGAGTAGAAAAAAGATAGCAACACACAAGCTGTGGAATAAGAGTGAGGTGCAAAACTTTTCTCCTCCATGCTCTTTTGTCAGAGTTTTAGTGCTGAATTTAAAAAAAAAAAAAAAAAGGAAAAAGAAAAAAAGTATTTTTGAAACATGGACTTGTTTCCACTACAAAGCATAGAAAACCAAAGTAATTAAGTTCGGAAATTTTGTCTCCCTAAGGGCAAAAATTATTAGATGTCAGTCTATCATGGACGATAGGACTTACTGAGTCTGTTTGGGTTATTTTTGCACCAGTGTGTTTTCCAAAGCTTTGTCATTCACACCTTACTGTAGTGTCTCTCTTGGTGTTTCTTTTTCCTGCTGTTAAAAGAAAGCAAACTATTCTGTGCTACAGTTGAAAGAAGTGTGTCCTGAGGGGTAAAAAGCCCTTTCCATCCCTAAGAGGTCATACAAGTTTATAAATACAAGTGAATTTTGTCAGCTGGAGGCTGTTCTTCCACATTTCTCCCATCAATAGTAGTGCAATGCTGACATAGACATTATTTTTCTACGGAGAGAGTATAATTTTGTACTTGGGAGACAGATAGGGAAGCCATGCATGCCCATCAAGAGGAATTTGTGACAGGAGAATCTTTTATATCACAGATAAACTGCCTGAAACTTATTTGTGTTTTGCTTTGGGTGGAGTGACCGAGGCCTTGGTGTTAGCCCACACTCACCTGATGAAGATGGGAAATGGGCCCTCACTGGCCACTGAACCTTATGCTCAGACTGGACAACAATAATTGATCTAGTCTAGGTTTTATACACTTTTTAGTCTGGCTTGGTCTTGTTGGGGTTTTTTTAACATCTGTGTACTTTAACTCAGCTTTCCTGAGGTGGTCATCTCCTTGGCAATTTCATCATTCAGCTTAGCAAATATGGCTGTTTAGAATCCTAGTTCACCTGAACTGCTCCCTTTGCATATTTGCTTTTTCTGAACATGACAGCTTTCCAACAGCTTTTCTTTTTCCTGACTTGCAGTCAGTAAATGAAAGTTGAATGTTCAATAGAAGTTCAAAATTAAACCTGGATTTCAGTAGGTTTATTCATACCTCTCCCAAGTCAGTTTGCTGTGCCAGTCATAATGTTCCATTTTTGTGAACTGCTGAGCCTTCCTTGCCAAGGCTAACAATTCATAGGACTCAGTTGTATTCCTTGTCCTACCAGTGAACTCAACCCATACATTGCTAAATAAACTGTTGGATAAGTAGATAAGCAAACTAAATTAGATTAGAAAAATCTAATCTGCTGTGACAAAGGGAAAATAATGAATAAATATCCTTGGATCGACAGCTTTAGCAACTTTACCTGGTACTAGCAATATGAATTTCAGAGGGAAGGAATACTTTTCCACACTATTAAAATTTTTCAGTGAGTGGTAAACAACAGCATCAGAGCAGATATGAGCTTTTCATTCCCCTAAATGGATCATCACTTCCTTAGATTTTGTTGAACTCTACAATCTGAAGACCAGGTTTCTGCTTGCTGCAATCATGTCTCTCTTCCCTGCACGAGTCAAAAAGATGCAAAAATAACATTGACAAATCCATGCAGGCTTTCCGTGACTTCTACTACAACCTCAGTCCAGATTTCTTAATTTTTTCATCAACTAGAATGTCTGTTCTGGATATGGTAACATTTCTTTTGCTACAGTAAATCTGATATCTTAAATAAGTAAAAGTGAGTTACTTGAAATATAGGAAGGGTAGTTCAATATTAACACTTGCGCTGATGGTGCATTGCAGTTAAACTTTCCAGACACACCAGACATATCTTAGAATGTTTTAAAGATGTTCTGAAAAAAATTCAGCAACATAAAAATAAGTTCAGTGAGGGAAAGCAGACACAAGTTATCCCTGCTTGTGGCTTAGCTGTGAGGTTATGTTTCCTTAGATGCTTAGCAGATTGTTTCTCACTCTGTTGTTTCTGTTTCAGTGCTATGACCCATATACTCTTTATCTGCTTTTAAATTCCAGTTTGATGATGCTTTGTTTGTGCTCTGTCAGAACGTTCATTAATTTAATTGTCTATATTATCCATATATGAAATCTGTATGGGATGTGGGATCTTTAATGAATAGGTCATGACATTTTTCATATACTTGTTGAATGCGGCATGGGGAAGAACTGTTTGATGTGACTAACCCTCTATCCTATAAAGTGAAATACATTTCCATGAAAGCCCTTTCTGAAGAACAATTCAGCAGTAATTCACTAAGGTCCCTTGAAGCAGAGGAAAAGGAGCTTTGCAGGTTGTTAGTATTGACTGCACTGGTAAGTAGAGAGAGAGGAAGGTAACTTTCTGGCTTTAGTACTTCTAGGATGTTGTTACATCTCTGGTTTCTCTTACTTAAGAGCTTAGACTGATTGCTTGGAACTATCTGATAAAATGGGCCCAGTACTGTCAATGTCTCACAGAAGTGATTTCATCCTAAAAACCTCTTGTAAGTGTCATGGCCTCAACAATCCCATGTGCTGCTTCACCAGACTGCCTGCTACTCCCCACATCTCATAGCTCACTGTCTTGTAGACTCTTGTCTGGAAGACAACTTATTTTCAGGACTAGATCTATCATTACCATAATGGCCACTTAAGCAAAAATCTTGAAATGCGCTGTCATCTCAAGGTGTTGAAGCAGATGCTCCATGCTCCAAATTAACTGAACAAACTGGCAGACTGCCCAAGATCATACAATGAAGCACAATGTAAATATCAGATCCTCTCTGAAACACCAGAAACCAGTTTAGTTTCTTTATAAATTAAGATTAAAATACCCTTTAACATTATTTAAGTATATATGGTGATGTACAGGCAAGAATTTTCTTGACAGAACAGTAAATAAATGGACTCCTCCTTTGCAAATCCACAATGACCTAGCTCACAAAAGGTCTAATAATAATTAGAATCACACCAACAATTAATCCAAATGCCCTGGCTGGAACTCAGCCATAGTAATGTAGTTCCACCTGACTAAACTTCTTTAATAGTTGCAGTGGGTCTGATGTTCCTCCTCTATTAGTGACAGCATGTCTACTAAAGAGCCTGTATCTTTTTTCCCCTCCTGAACAGTAGCACAGCTTACCCTCTTTTCTTCCTCAGATATTATTTAACAAGGTGGAGAACAAACAATAATTTAACAAGAATGGAGAACAAACAGCAAAGCAACGGCATGACGAAAGAAAATAATGAAGTCAAGAAAAAAGTGGTGAGTGAATTCCTCAAATCTTCTGTTGAGGCATTTGTTTTCTGTTTGGAGACTGGAGGCAGAAAATAATTATAAAATAATAATTTGGAACCTATATGCTTACTCTTTTTTTTTGTGTAGCATATGTTTACTTTCTGTAACTAACCAAGAGTGGTTGGGAAGGATCAAAAATTGTGAGTGTATTAAGGTGAGAAATTATGTACATATTAATCACATGTAGCCATGGTATTTGCATTTGAGTATGAACTGAACTACTTGCACTGCTATTTAACATGAAACAAAACAAAACACAGGTGTCTGATTCATCATAAATACACTGTATATTCCAGGGACTTGATTCTCCTAACTTGACTCTTTTACTGCTTATGACAATTCAAAGAGGTTATAAATGTTGTCCAGATCTTCTATCAACATGTACAATAATTGTACACATTAATGAGCAGCATCTGGCTTTCTATTCAAACACCAGTCATCTTGATCTGAGCCAGTGACACTTCAAAGTTATTGCACCATAAACTGCTTTCCAGCCTCCATTGTTCAATGGCATTACTTACTTTGTCTTTGAGAGCTCTAAGCTAGCTCTGAGATGTGCAACATATCAGAAGCTCAGACTTACACCAAAATCAGCTACAGTCACTTGGGGACAATTCCCAGATGCACTTAATACTCATCATTGCCAACTAGAAGGTATCATTTAACTCTTAGCAGTTCAAAATTCCATGCATGCAAGTAGGTACTTTCAAATATAATAGCTGAAAGCTTTTATCTTCCCCAGGTGGCATGTCTAATCCCCATCCTTAACACAGCAGTAGTGTGGCATGTCAGATCTAAACCTCCTAACGTTGTGGAAACATCCTTAACATCTTAATTGGCTACAAGTTTTGTGGTACCTTCACTTTCCAGCCTCGGCAACGCGGGAAAAGTCTTCCCCATCTAGGGGAAGGGTCTAGGGTCTTGCTCACAGAAGGGCTGACCAGGTCTCCAGTCGGGACCGCGGCAGGGGCCCCTGAAAGCCGCGGTCCCCCAGCCGGAGTGTCACTCTGGGGCAGGGCCGGGATAGACACCGGGTCGTGACATTCCCCTGCCCTACCTGCGCTGCTGGGTAAATTCCCGCGGAGGGACGGGCAGCCCCAGGCCCGGCGGCGGGCGGGTACATTCTCCTAAGTTATGTGCGAGCACGCACAGAAGTGAGCCCATGTTCCCCATCGCTCGAGTCCTGCCCGCAGCCCCGGGCACCGGCTCTGTCCCCTCCCGGGAGCCGCGTCCTCCCCCGGCTGGCGCTGAGCGACCGGGGCCGGGACAGGGGCTGGGACAGGGGCTGGGACAGGGGCTGGGACAGGGGCTGGGACAGGAGCAGGGACAGGAGCAGGGACAGGGGCTGGGACAGGAGCAGGGACAGGAGCAGGGACAGGGGCTGGGACAGGGGCTGGGACAGGAGCAGGGGCAGGGCAGCCGCGCCCCCGGACACCCCGCGGCCGCTCCCGGCGCGCCCCCGCTGCCCCGGAGATGCGCGGCCGTTGCGCGCGTGCGGAGGCGGCATGGACGGGGCGGCGCAGCCCGAGGCGGACACGCTGGTGCAGCGGGGAGCGGGCGGCGCCCGCCGGGCCGTAAGTAGCGCTGGGCGGCTCTCCGTGCTGCGGAATGCCCGCAGCCCTTACCGCGGAATGCCCGCCGAGAGCCAGGCGGGGCGGGAGGGGAAGCTCGGCCGGCGCTGCCCACGCCTCGCGGAGGATTAACGGGAGAGGGGGTGATTCCGATCCTCTCGGGCGCCGTGGTGGAGGATGGTGCACGGAGGCTGCGGGAGCCGGAGTAACAGCCCGGAGCTTCCCCGAGAGCCAGGCGGAGCTCGGGCTGCACAGCCCTTCCCCTCTCGGAAAGTTGCTGGTGCCGGTGCAGGGGAGGCCGGCGGTGGGCAGAGCTGAAAACACGGCAGCCGCCGAGCCGGGACCCGGAGCATGGGCGGGGGTCAGCGCGGGGCCGGCGTGTGCCCGGCCGGGGAGCGCAGCCGCTGCCGCGGGTGAAGCGCAGGCAGGCGAGAGTAGAGCAAGGCGAGGGCACTGCTGCTTCCTCGCTGCTCTCTAGGACCACCTGCAAGCTCTCAGGGCAAGGGCAGAGCCAGGGAGAGAGGGACGGAGGTTTCCTTTATCTCCCGCAGCCCCGAGGGCAGAGCTGCCGGAGGGCGCCGGGTCCGCGAGCACCTGCCGGGAGCGCCTGGCCCCGCGGGACCTGGGTCTCAGTAAGGGTATCCCCAGTGCGGTGCTCCAGAGACCAGCTTTCCTGTGTATTGCTAATTGTAGCAATATCTATTTAAAAATATTTAACTTCCCTATGCGTGTATGCAGTGTTATACCAATTGTGTTTAAGTTTAGTCTGAGGAGGGGGCTATAACTAACCAAAGTATGATAGTCTAACCTGTGTTTTGAAAACTGAAGTGCAAACTGAAATGCAAACTGTCGTGCAGTAAATGAAAAGACAATTCGAGACTCATGGTAGCCAGCACAAATATTTCACGACATACTGAACAAGGACTGGAGTTGAGAAAAGCATCTGCAGACCATAGTGCCTGGGATCTGTGATTAGGCCAAAAACGTGGGCTTTCACATACAAGCAGTCCTCGGGTATCTGCAGGTCTTTGCTGTGAGCTGCCATGCAGCTTTTCTGACTGAACACTTGTTGCTGTGGTGATGGTCACACGTTCCTGCCCTTGGGCTGACAGTAGTGATGCATGGGCATATGCATGGCTATGAGGCCAAGGAACACCTATGAAGGAGGCATGGTTGCCTTCTTGATTCCTGGCCATTTTAAAAGACACTGTGGGTTGTGTTTATCTTTCCTTTCCTTTTTCTAATGTTGCCACAGGGTAAATAGTTTTTTGAGCAACAGTTTGATTTTCTTTTACATTCTTGCTTCACTGTGCTTTCGTCTTTATCTGGTGTTACTGAAGCCTGAGCAAATATTTAAAATAGTGAATGAGGAGACAGGTCATGGAGAAGTTGAATTTCATATTTCAAGTTCCAAAACCTCTGAATTGAGTGAGCCTGAGGTTTTCTGCAGCAGCCTGTATGCTTAAAAACTTCATGGTATTGAGTTTCTAAATCCAGTTATTACAGTGCGAGGTTTTCTAAGCACTTCTGTGATTTGCCCTGCATTATCTTCCACTTAGCCTCATGTGTATATAATTTGCCTGTACTGAAAGTTTTGTGCCTTCATTGATGTTTTTAATAACCATTAAGCTATAAGTTCCAAATATTTTTCATTGCAGGATTTTTTCTGATATGTCTAATGTTATTGGAGTAGAGCCCTTTAGGAATATTGCACCAAGATTACTGCATGACACTTGGGAACTCACGCTTATTGTTTGTGAACCCTTTGGGAGCAGCCTGGTAGACCACCAGAAATATTTCCCCCAGCATCATTCATTCAGAGTAGTAGCAATTTCTTCTAAGTGCAGAAATGCTTGTGCATAGCAGAGAAATAATAAGCACCCAATATGAGGTGTTATCATCAGAAGTTAAATAAAGCTATGTCAAGTTCCTACATTTTGCTAACAAAGTAATGTGCAAATTCCGTGTGTGTGTGGCAGGCTCATTTTAAGAAGCTGGCTAATAATAATAAACTGTGTTTGGCTTATGTAATGATCTCAACGGGATATATTTCTTACAAGGCTTTTCACCCCCTGCACACTTCCTCCTGACCTGACCAAAACCAGGCTGGTTAATGAACTGTGTAATCTCTTAAAAGGTTCCCACATCATGTGGAAGAAGTTAAAAACACTCAGCCATCCTACAGGGTGCATTTTGAATGCTCAGAGTTGGCAGCTACGAGTGCCGCAGACCCCACGTGCTGGGGGTACACTGTGCTCTGTCCCCAGAGCCTGGGTGTCTCATCCCTTCCCCACAGGGCACAGTCTATGCCAGCAGTGTGGCACAGGAGCTCTGGCACATGCCAAGAGCCCTGGTGTGTTCACCTGCCCTGCTGTGCCCGCAAGGCTGCTGGAGCTCGTTCCACTCCACTGTCACTGCAGCTATGCCATATACACAAACCTCCTTCATGCTCAGCACCTGCATTTTCCATACAGCTTTGTGCAGTTGACAGAATGCATCCACTCATTAACCTGTTGTGGTGTGGTGAGTGATATAACTGAAACTGAGTTTCTTAGTCCTGATTAAGCAGGTCTTCCTCCTTTTGAAAGGATTGAGGTTTCAGTGACTGAGGAGGCTGGGCATAAATAGCAGTGAACTGTGCCTGAAATTCTTTGTTCTTATCATAGCTGTTTTTAAAATTGAAAATATATTAAAAATACATCAATTTTAACACATTCAGAGTTGTTTTTCATTATCTACATAACAATATTTGCAATTGACCAGCCACCAAAACACTAATGTCTCTTGGGAATGGCTGGGAATGGTCTCTTCTGCCAAATTCTGTAAACCAGCAGGAGAAGTAATACTGGGGAAGTTGGAAAGGAATGCAAATGCAAAATCTCTCAAATCAAATCAAAGCAGTTCTGAATTTTATTCAACAGCTGAGGTGGAAGCAGAAATTGCAGAGTTGGGTTAAAAAGAGTATGAGGAGGATGAGGTGAGAAGACCTGAGGAGGGAGAAGTACAGGTGTGCCATTGGGAAAATGGGCACTGAAGAGTGTGTGTGGCAAAATGTTATTGTTGGAAACTTGCATTTAGATTACAAAACCTAGTTTGTAGACATAATTTTATTCTTTTTGGTCACAATTTCATTAATCCTTATTGTTGAGGGGTAAAGGGCAGGGTGCATGCCATCGCATGAGTTTTCATCCAAGTCAGATCTACCCCCAGACTTCTTGTATCATCTTATGTAGTAAGGTGATAAAAATAGATATAACAGTAAGTATATTATATATTATATGTTATATATTATAGATTACAGATATACTATGTATATATATACTATAATAGAAAGTAAGGTATGCCTTATTTCATTGTGCTAGTGATATACTGTCAACAATTTCCTTTGCTGAGATTATGCTTCCCCAGCATTTTACTTTTTGGTGTGGGAGCTGGTAGAATGCTTGCAGCAGAACTCTGTGAGGTTGAAAGAAGTTCAAATGTTCACTTATGCCTCCATAGATGTTAAGCAACATGCTGTCACTTCGAATGTAATGTGGCTCAGATTGAGCAAGGAGAAGTGTTTCAGGCTATTATTCTGCATCAAGAGCATCTGCCTGCAGGTGCTATGCAAGATAGCTAAGGGGTGTTTAAAACCCGAGGTACATTAATTTTCAGTGTGTTAACAATGGCTGCATCTTTTCTTTGTTTTTCAGAACTGGTCTGGGAGTCTTATTTTAGCCTCCTTAACTGGTGCTTTTGGGTCGTCTTTTCTTTATGGTTACAATCTGTCGGTGGTGAACGCTCCCTCAGGGGTAAGTGACTGGCTAAAGTGGAATTTAATATCAGTAGAGGGCAGCCTTGTCCAACTATTGTGCTCCTCAGCATCCTGCCTTTCTAGTCCTGATTACACAGTAGGAGGGGATTAAATCTCATAGAGTAACGCTCCCTTGCCCAAAACCTTCTTTCTGCTTCCCATGAGGTTTTCACTTAAATTCAGTAAGTGTCAGAGAGCTAAATGCTGCCGTTGAGGTGAGTGGGTGCACATGGTTTGCTTCTTATTCTCCCAGATCCAGGCTAATCCTGAATCTTCCTGCACACTTTAATGTGCTAAAGTATTTTTTATATCTGACTAGTGAGAGTATTCAGTAGCTGCATGCACATATTCAGTAACTTCTGTTCATGCAATTCAATTCTAGAGGGTTACACAACATTTCATTCCCACAGCACTGATATTATAAATAATGCTTCTGGCTTCCTCTTAAATAATGAGCCTCCTCTTCTGTGTTTTGTTGTGATGCCTCAGTATACAAGAGTTGTGGGGATTTCATTAAAACATCAGTCATTACAAATGAAAACCAGAACATTTTCTTTTTACACTGGCTGTCTAGAGACCCTCAACACAGTCAAGCACAGCAGGAAGCAATTCAGTGGAGTTGCAAATAACACTATTTTGAAAAGTAGCTAGTAAATATTGGGAATTAACTGTAGAAATTCCATTTCAAAATAGTTCCTTTCCAAAGGTAAGCTCCTTCTTTTATGAAAATATCCTATTAAAATATGTGTCTAGATTTCCACCTAAACAGGTTTTTCATGTTAAAGCTGGATGAAATATTTATGCAAATAATGAAAGAAGCATTTTTAAAAATTATGTTTCATATGTGGATTTTATTTGGTAAACTGCTGACCCAAAGGAGTAGGAAGAGACTCAGCCTACAGAAATTTTTAATTGCTCATTTCATAACTTCTGGGAGTTTTTGTCAAGTTCCTGGTGTTTTATATACTGGTAATTGCAGGTTGGATAAATTGGATGTTAGCATGACATGTCCAGCCATCACGTCACTTTACAGTCATCAGAGGATAAACACAGCTTAGAAAAAATCAGCAAGAAGCTCTAATTCTGTGAGCAATGGTATTGATTGTCCTGATGGGAAAATCCTTCCTGCACTGCCTTGGGGATATCAACAGTGCAGTGAGAGCAAGCCAATTTCTAAACCTTTAAGTACCATTTGGAAAATGGGCTGTCCTGGCGGTCAGAGCTTTCCTGTCACTTTCTGCAGGAGTAAGGGAAAGAAAGGCTGTGCTCCTTGGCAGCACTCAGAAAGTTCTCTTTGAACCATGCGAGAGATTACAGAGGTGTGGGTGGGGAGGTTGAAGATGCAATCCCGTAACAAATACTAAATTCCAGGTTTTGTACTTAATAACACTTCCAGAATTGTCTGGTTTTATTTGAAATCTTTAGTGTGACTTTTGGGCTGAAACTGGGCACTATGCTGATGGTTTACACCATTACAGGTGTGCATGAGGTCTCGACGTTTCAGTGTTTGATTTACAACTTCGTATCTCTCTTATTCATATTAAGATGTACATTAGCTAGGGCTAAGGAGTAGTTCTACTGACAAGGAAGTTGTGTAGTTCAAGAATAAAATATCACTCTGTCCTCTGACCCTCTCTCTAGCTCCAGGATTAATTAATGTGTGTCATTCATTTGCCTGAGAAAGACCACTTTCCTGTCCCTGTCCCTGGGGCTGCAGTGACTGGGTTGAGGGGAAGAGCATAGGCTGAGGTCACAGCCATGGTAGGGAGCAGTGAGCCATATCAAAGCTGTGCTTCTTGCAGCACAAGAAAAGGAACCATTGCCCCATCTGTTTTCTCCTGTGTGTTAAGAAATCAGTCTGCTGCAATATGACTGATATGACTGAGAAACAGCAAAGCAGAGCATCTTGTAACTGTAGATAAAAGCAGCCTTGTAAGAGGTTATACCGGGAGTGCAGTAATTCCTACAAGTTGTAAGCAGAGTTTCATTTATAAACCTGGTAGGACAAATAACTTCTTGTGGTGACATGCAGCTTACAGCCGACATTGTAAGATTTGCCTTCTCTTCATAGCATACTGGGTATCTTCTGCCCCTCTTCAGTACAGTACAATTCCTCTTGATGCTGAAGTCATCCAGCCTTACAGAAGGGTTGTATGCTCCTTTGAGAAGTAGTGAAAAAAGGCTTGATAATGGCAGTTAACTAAAACCCAGAATGTTTCCAGGATCCTCAAACAGCGCGTAGCAGGATGTCAACAGGAGCTGATGGAGTGAAAGAAGTTAATTTAAGACTGAAGTGTTGAAGAGCTATTTGTAAATTCTTGTGTCCATTTTCTTTCAGTGCCACAATTTGTGTCACAAATTTGATGAGTGTCAGCTCATCAAACCACAGGGGAATTCTCCTATAGTTCTCACTGGTGGGCTTTACTTCAGGTCATCTCATGAGGCAGAGTTAGTCTAAGTTCCTGATTGTTTCAAGGGGGAAATAAGCTGCACATACTCTGTTCAGAGCTGAGATTGCTTCACACTCAGTTCCCTGTAGTTCTGTGGGAAAGAGCATGGCCCATCACAGGTATGATTCCCTGAGAAACCCAGAATTACAAGTTTCCATGGGCTTGTTCAAAGAGTTACCAGAATTTATTAAAAACATATTGGGAGCATTTGGCAGTAGTAAGACAAAAGATTTAATTGAATACAAGATGAAGCTGTCTTTTTCTGAGCTGCATTTCTACAGTTCATTTCATGGACTGATTGTGGGCAGTGCCTGTGAAACAATGATGTGCTTTGTGCTCTGTGCAGGAAGCAAAGTCCCTGCTACTTTCTGCTTTGTAGCCCTTGCCCTCTTCCTGCAGGAGGCTGCAGCTCTGAGTTCCTATGGCACAAACATACAGCTTGCTGTGACAGCTGGTTCAGTAGTTGTCACTGTGTGAATGACCTCTGTAACTATGGGTAAGACAAGGAAAATATTTCTCTGTTTTTTAAGATATATCCATTAGATTCATACATATAGAACTTTCTATATTCCTTATATTCCTCTTCTCGTTCTCATCCCAGCACTACTACCATCATGAACTGAGGCAGCTGAGAAAATAAGATACTGATATCAGCCACCATTTTTTGTAGGCTTTGTTTAGGGCCTAAAATTTTTGTATATAGGTTTATGCCTTTAGTGTTATTGAGACACCTGATCAAATTCCCAAAGGAGCTTTTACACAAAATTCAATGGATTCAAATTCAGTGGATTTATTCTACCAGGTTTGTTTTGTTTCATGTGCATCTCCTGAAAATCTCTGTGTTTTATTAGCCTTCTGTTTCTTGGCAATGGGAGACCAGAGAGAGGTGCTAGTACATGTTAGAACATCCATCTATCTGTTACTAGTGAATGATTTAGTTTGTACTTTATTTTCTTGAACATCTGCAGTTATTTGATGCCTCCTTGTAAATAACTAAGTTATGCTGAGAAAATTAGTCATAACACAAGGGGAGAGTAATTTGCCTACCTATTTTTAGCCATTATCATTAACAAGAAATGCTAATAGTGTTCTAAAAGTGTTTTCTCTTAGTATTCATTACTATCAGAAATTAATTTCAAATAGACAAGAAGATGTCTGAATCTAAATATAATCTGAGTATTGGTGTTAAAGAACTAAGATGCTTTTTCTTGATTTAATGGCAGATTCATCCGGAATCTTACTGTGAGACTTCTAAATTATTCAAGACCCAAATGGACTTGGTTTTTTTAAATTTTTATTCCCTGTCTATTTAGAAACATTTAAGATAGGATGGGAGAAATAACCCAGTTCTCCTTTTAATTAAGGGCATGAGAAGCTTACTAGAAATTTGATAGATGGAAGACAGAAGATTGTATATTCTACCTTCACTTTTCCTAGGTATTTTGTAGGTGGAGAGGTGATAATTCAAACTAAAGGCCCTCAAATAGAATATTCCATGTGTCCAAGGCCAGATTTTAGGTGAAGTTTGAAGTTCCTAGTTTGAACAGGGAAAAAGTAGTGGCTTATTATGCTGTGTCCTTTCCCAGGATAATTTAGGAGCTGTTACATTGTGAAGAAAATTGGAGAAGAAACTGGGAAGAAGTTCCAAGATTAAACTTTTGATATTGTAGAGCTTGAGAGCTTTTCCTAAGTGTGTTGTGCCCTTCTGCTGTGATGACTGCAATTTCCTGGTACTGTATACTAGCCAGAGCATCAGGCACCACAGTGGCACTTCCTCAGTGCTGAAATTGGAGCAGCATAAAAACAAGGAAGCTTGACTAAATAGAATATTTAGTCAATAAATAGGTGATGTCTCTGCAGGCAATACAGAGACTATGTTAAAGTGCTGTCCTGGAGCTATGACACCTTTACCTTTTAAAAAGATGAATAACTTAGTCTAATTAAATACTGGGGAAGGGAAGTTGTTAGAAGGCATCTTTCAAAAACCTGTAGTTGTCCTCATGTGAGGAAAGCAGAGGAAGAGTATAAACTTTGGCACATTAAAGGCTAAAGAGTGATCTTGTCCTGGACATTCTTGTCTACCTGTGGGGCTTTTTCCCCATCTGCTTTGGTACTGCCTTGTAGTCACATGTATATATGCTAGGACTGATTCAGTTAGTTTTATTCAGTTGTATCTATAAATGAGGCCCCATTTTGTTGGAGGAGGAAAACAGAAGAGCAAGAGTGATTCCTGCAAGAAAGCTACTTTGGGTTTTCTGGGTTTTTAACTGCTTCTGTTTCGTTCAGCTGTATTCCCAAAATGTGATCTTTTTTTCACATATTTTTATTATGTATTTTCTTACAGTATATCAAGAAGTTTTACAATGAAACCTGGGAGAGGAGGTATGGCTTCTCAGTGGATGAAGGCACGCTGACGCTTCTCTGGTCCATAACTGTTTCTATTTTTGCCATCGGTGGCCTTGTGGGTGCCATTATTGTTACTCCAATTGTGAAGTTCTTTGGAAGGTAGGTGTTCTGGAAAGCTTGCATTTTCTAAAGTAGTTTCTTTCTTAGTCTCTCTAGAAAGTTTTACTTTTATTAAATAAAAAATAATTAAAAAAACAAAAAAAAATCTTTCCATTCTGAAAACTTACTGTGCATCATTTGAGTCACAGAAGCCATTTATTCTGAACGAGCAGTGGGTTGAGATGTCAAGGAGTGTGACTTGTCAAGTGTGCCAAAGGAAAATACCCTAAAATAGGAATGATTTCACAAAGGACTAGCAGAATCTTGTTCCTGAGTCTACTGAGTATCTAACTGTAAACAAACACAACTATCAATATATCTCATTTGCTTCATAACAGCATTTGCTGTCATGTGGTAATAAAAATATACTTCAATTTATATCCCTTAAATTCAATTCAATACTTCAGATTTTTTTCAGTCTTTGTGTCAACTTAAAATACAGTTTGAAGAACTGGCCTAGGATGAAGTTCATGTATGGCCATTCCCAAGAAGGGGTACACCATCCATTCTGTACAGTGCAGCATTTGACCAAGTCTTGACCATAGAGAATATGAGTATTTTAGGAGTGCTTGTATTGGTGTGTGCTTGCATTTTTGCTGCAGATACTATTTCTGTCAAATTTTTGTGTCATACAGTCTTTTAAATAGAATTTTGAACTTAATTTACTATTTATCTATATTTAGAAGGGCGCTGAAAAAAACCCCTGCCATTGTAGCATTCATCATAGCTGCTCATTTGGATTTTTCTTAATTGTAAATTCAGTATTATTTGATATCTTTTGGTCAGTTAAATCACAGGAGAACATCATCATGGAGGCTTAAATATAAGTGTAAACCTCCAGTGTTCTTACATTGCTGTTTTACATTTTGATGATTTCCATAAGATTGCACTTTCCTAGGTCTCTTTCTCCTTCTCCCAACTTGTCCATATGTCATTTTTCATCTCAAAGAGGGTATTTTCAGGTTTTTCCATTTCATGCTTACAGCAAGTCAGTATTCTTAGCTGTTACCCATTCTTCATGAATTTATTTTGTCACTTCAGCGCTTGATTTTCAATTTTTAAATATTTTCCATAGTTATATTATTTATTTTTTTTAGGTTTTCAATTTCTTCTGCCAAATCATATGTTTGGCTTTAATATACTTGTTAGAAATATTAAACTGTGCCTGACTCAGACTGATTAATTGTCAGAATATTGCTGAGTCTTTATTAAAATAAATGAAGTAAAAATGGGTTCACAGAAGGCTAGAATTTTCAGTGAGGAGTGGAATACCTTTTGTGCAGATTTGTTAAAATGGTGGCTGATCTGTCGTAGATACACCACTTCTACCTGTGCTGGTCACATTTCCAGGGCAGGCCTTTACACTTGCAGACTCTGCCCCTGTTGGTTATGTTTGTCTCCATTAAGACATGAGAACAGCTCTGTTACAGATACAGTGGATGAGTGCTGGAGCAGAGATGGGAAGGGGCTGTGTGAAGAAAGGCTGCTCACCAGAGACTGGTTCTTGAGTTTGCTGTTCACACTGCAGTGTGTGTCTGGTCTAGGAGCCCAGACTGACGCATCATTATGGTAATTGAGGAGCACACAGTGAAATGTTGACAGAACAATAAAATACTTTGCTGTTAAATTGCTCAAGTGTAGGTTGGAGGGCTGTAGGTATGATGAAGCTGAGCTCCATTTACACTGACACAGAATAATGAGCTAAGGGGGATTAAAAGCACTAGTCAGAAATAATGTATGACTTTAAAAGAACACTTTTGAATCATATTGCTGTAAGGTTAAAAACATAAATCCCAAATTACTGGATTCATAGGCCCTATTTACTTCAAGAGACATGTAGAGTAATTTTTTGTAAGGGAACCTTCATCCACATAAACATAATTCCCATTCAGATGTGGCTTTGACACTTGGTAATTTAAATTCTCCTCTTCTAATGAAGAGGGTCTGCTGTTGTTTATCCTGAGCACCCAGACCAATATGCTCAAGGAATTGTTCAGGTCGCTTTTAGGGAGACATATTAGGCTGAGCATCACAACAGGCTCCTCTCCTTCTTGGTACCACAGGCAATGGTCACACTCAGTGCCTTCAGTGAGAGAAAGGACAGTGCAAGGGGTCAGGGTCAGTGTGCAGCAACTTCCCTGCGCCATTCCTTGCTCCTCACTCCTCCTGTGCTCCAGAATGGATCCCCATGAAACACAGTCCCTCTGGGGATGTCCTGGCTCAGTTCTGGATCACCCTCTCTTCCACTGACCTTGCTACACCCTCGCTCCATCTCCCCACAGAAGCCACCCCTGCAGCCCCAACACTTCCAAAGCCTTGCCATAGACACAACTTTCCATAGTAACACTCTAAATAGAGTGATTTGTTTTCCTTCCTTTCCAGCCTGCCAAAGTCTTTGTTCTTAGCATGTTTAGTTAGGCTGTGCTGTTCTCAGCTGCATAGTATAAGAGTTTGCTGGCCAACTTTTTCTCAAAATATATGTATTTTATAGTTTTTGTTTAAATTAAAGGAGAACAAAGCAATATCTTCAGATGAATGTATAAAACTTATTTGACCTGAATAAACATTTTTTCCATTTTTGTCATTATTTGTATCACTTCAGCCATCTCAGAGTATATATCCATCTGAAAAATCTGTTCCAAATAGTGCAGTCATCACTCTGACAGTTATGTTGTATAGACTTTAAATGAATTGTATCCCATTTTTCAGTCTTCAAGCCATGTTATTAATTCAGTGTTCAAAACTCACTAAGAAAGGAGGAAGAGTAATTAAAAATACAAGTGCGAAAAATATTTCCTTTCAAAAAGGTATGCCTCTGTTGTGAGAAATTGGCTAAATTTTTCAATGGGTGTAATAAGTTGATTACAACTTATAATATATATTATAATATAATATTTTATTTATATATTAATATATAATATTAATATATAAATCAAACATTAAATTATTAAATTATATTAACTATTAATTGTTATAATATTACTATTATTATATAATATTGATATATAAGTATAAATATTATAAATAATAACATGTTGAAAAAAATTAGAACTGGTGGGACAGTTTTTCACCTGTTCTCTAGAAAGGAAAGGGGTAGACAGCCTTGCTACTCACTCCTTTTTAATTAATCCCTCAAACTTGAATGGAAAGTTCTGAAAAATGAAGACTAAAAGGAACTAAGCTGTTGGCAAATGAGAAACTTAGATGTTTTGAAAATTTTAAAATATATTGTCATGATTTTGTTAATCCTTTTTAACAAAGTAATAATTTGCCATAAAGAGCATTTATTTTATTTGAAAAAAACCCTAATGTTTTATTTAACTTAAATTTTCAATTTAATGTTTTATTTAACTTATCTGTTATAGAATGAAATAATTTTAAAAGTGGGGAAGAAATATGTAAATCTGTATTTTGGTTAATTCCAACAACTTTTAGAAAAGGGTTGATTTTTATTACTTCAATGAGCTCAAATATTTTTTCCTAACTTTAAAAGTAGGAAGTAATTTTCCTCAATGTATGGTTTTAATATCAAATATTTACAGATGAACTATAATGACATAGATGATGTCACAGCTGGGAAGTTCTTGAAGTGTCAAAAACTGTATGGAACATTAAAGTGCCTGCAGTTATATCAGGTTATTGCTATTTGAATTATATTATTTGGGTTCTCCATACAGACATCCATCCAGAGTATGCTTATTTATATGCATGTACAGAGCCTCAGGCCTGACACTTGTGTTTTTAGGATACATAAATCGGCTTTTGAAGTACAGCTCTTCAGTTATCTATATTATGTTTTCTTTTAAACTGTGGTATAGGTTTGAAACTGTATCCACATGGGTATAGTGCTGTTTTTCAGAACTCTACTCATCTAAGAGGCAGCATTTGTTAGGCACTTTTTATTTATAGATATTTAAGAATAAGAGCTTAGTGTGCTTCTAATATAACTAGATTTAACTGCCATGACGCTGGTTTCTGCCTAAGCCATCTTTGCCTTTTAGGAAATGCACGTTGGTGCTCAATAACGTGTTTGCAGTGGCAGCTGCCTTGTTGATGTCCCTGTCCTTGCTGGCGGGGTCGTTTGAAATGCTCATACTGGGCCGCATTATCATGGGTGTTGATGCAGGTAAGCTTTGGTCACACTCTACATGACTGAAATGCTTGTGCCATGCACACACTTTCTCCTCTTCCCCGGTTAGAATTTGCTTGACATCAAAGAGGTATTTCAGGGACTAGCTGTAGCCACACTGATTTCACTGGGACAAAATGGCACGTGAAGAGCTGGTGGATCTGCTTGGAGGAGACACTGGAATGGATGCTCACCACGGCTGTTTCCCTACCTTTCCTCTTCCTGCCATGGTAGAATGTATTTGTTTCCAAGCCATGAAAATCCCTTGACTAGGAGAGTGTATTCTGTTTATGAACACTGCTTTTTGCTGTGTTTACAAGTCGTTGGATCCCATGCTAATGCACCTGCAGGACTAGGGAAGGTTTGACACCTCATCAATTGTTCCTATGGTCTTCCCAGTCTGAAAATAAACCATGGAGGCACTGCAGCTCCAGAATAATCTTGCAGCTAGAAGGAAGGGTTTCTGCTAATCTTTGTCTCAGATTACCATCAAGAAACCAAATTTCTGGAGCTGTGCAAATGTTGTCATTGCACAGACCAAGTTCATGCATTTGTTTGTTCTGCTCCTGGCTTTAAGCAGTATTCCAACTCTTATTTTATGCCTATTGTGAAGAGTTCAGGCAGCTATAAGCCTGTTTTGAGAGGAACATCTGTTAATACTGTTTACAGTAAAAATACTTCATCTGACAATGCCTGCTCTGTCTGACTGATGCATTGGGCTTTTTTCCCTTACCCACAACAGTCTTAACATGATTTTGCTTGTTTTGGGATGAGCAAATTTAAAACATAAAATCTATTCTCCTGGAGATTCTCATCTCTGAGTAACCTTTGGGGGTCCACATCAAAAAGCAGCCTACGCACATCGCTGTAGATCTGTAACAGATAATCAGTCCCATAGATAATAAATGGTGTGAGAGTAATTAGACATACAAGGAAAATAATTCATGGTATCTGTGGATAGATATAATTCTGTTCCTTGCATGTTTTTATGCCACTCTTGTGAGCAGATTATCACTCAGGCGCCTTTCAATAGAAATTTGTTGCATACCAGGTATAATAAAAATGTTTTGACTTAATATATGGGTTTTGTTCTTCCTTTGTAGGCATTTCCTTAAGTGCTCTCCCCATGTATTTGAGTGAAATATCTCCTAAGGAAATCCGTGGTTCATTGGGTCAAGTCACAGCAATTTTCATTTGTATTGGTGTTTTCACTGGTCAAGTTTTGGGGCTTCCAGAAATATTTGGGCAAGTAAGTATTTAAGAGACCTTTTCTATCAAAGAACACAAGCATGCTCTAAGTGTCATATTTTCATGTTTTGATTAGATTCTTTGCAAAAGTGGAAAACAGAAATATTTATTTTTTGAAGCACTTTGAAAAGTAATTTCTTCCATGTCTTCTAGAAGCATGTACTAAAAGCATGACTTAGTTTGGTAGATGTGGCTGGCAATTTCAACAGCTTGAGTGCCTTGTGCACTGCCTTATACAGATCTCCTTCTCCCCCCTTCTTGATGTACATCTATTTTTTCTGGTTTCCAGTTTCTTTGGACACCATGGGAATGCTTAAGAGTTTTTATATTTTTGATCTCTAATTTTTCAATGTGAGATAGAACTAAAAAAGGCTTGGTTAGAGTTATTATGGGAACCTGAACAGGAAGACTCTTGCTTGGTGATTATAGTGTACCTTTTAGTGCAATCCTTAATTTGTCCTGTTTTTAGACTAAGTGATAGAAAAGCAGAGTTAACACACACCTTTATGGAAAGATTATCTATTCAGATAAGACTTGTTTTGCTGTCATAGGCTGAGATTAACTTGGTGGCCACTGGATGTCATCATTACTCTGAATAAATGAACTTGAGTTTTATCAAGCTGGCAATTGGAAATACAGATTCACACAACAGGAGAAGTTGGAAGGAACCACAGTGGTCATCTGATCCGACCAGGTGCTTTCCATTCAGAGATGAATCTTCAAGGCAGTGTGGAGGAAAGGTCTGCAGCAATCCTCTTACACTGAAACTTAAATACAGAATCCCTTCTGACAGCCAGAAAAAGTAGCAAGGAGTAGGAAAGCGAGAGGAGCTTGTCCTTCTCCGTCTATCCAAAGGCAACTCCTTTGTAAATACATGATACCATTCTCCCTGACACTTTTATTTTTGCCTGACCAGCTTTCTTATTCTGTCCATTTATTCTGTTCAGCTCTCCTGAGGGCAAATTTTTTGATTCAATTTACCCTTTATTGAAGGATAGATTTGTCCCCTGCCCATCCAAAGCAACAGATTTTAGGAAAAAACTTAAGATAGCTTTCATTGAGTGGCTTCTACAGATGTCCCTTCTCTTGCCTTGGAAGCAAGTCTATTACAGATGAGTGTATGAAATTTCAAGGGGCCAATTTGATTGCTTAGAATATGGCAGCCCTTATGTAGGAGGAGTTTTTTCTAATTTGGGTTTTTGAGACATGCATACACTTTTAAAGGTGAGATGTCATGAAAATTCTTATTCCTTGATTCCAGCTCATTCTTGCTGGTTTTATTTCTCTTTTTGCCTTCCTTTCATCACCATTGTTGCCGCTACCAAATTATGGAGGTAGTGTTTCTGCTTCTACAACCTGCTTTAGTGTGAAATTAATTAATATCACACCATTAAAGACAGCCATAAATTTATGTAAGAAGAAATATGCTTTATCTGTAGAATTATTTTTTTCAAGATGGGTAACATCAGCATGTAAAAGAAGCAAAGTTTTGGCTGATGTGAATTACAATATTTCCAGCCAATTTATTTGAGGCAACTTGAATATTCTAGTTGTATATGTGGGCGGGTCTTTTCTTTTAATTTCTCTTGGTTTCAGTCAAGCCAGGATTTTTTCCCTATGTTTGTGGGGTTTCCATTGAAACTCCTTCAGTGGGAGGCAGTTTTTATTTTGCTGCTCTGTAGTTGTTTGTTTCTTATCAGAATTTGTTGTAAATAATACTAGTTACTAATATTTGTCTTCTGTCATGTTTTTGGAAGTTTTCTGCTGAGATCTGTCATGTGTCTATTACTTATAAGTTGAGCAAATATTTAAGAGGTTTTTAACCTTAGTGTCTAAGCACTGATGGTTTTGGAGAAAGGAGGGACAAAAACAGAGATGAGTGTCTTGCTGGAAGAGACTCTTTGGAAAAGGGATGGACATGAGAAGGGATGTCAGCACAGCTGAGGTGCTTCTTGTAGGAGGAGGTAACAGCAGCATTGCTTGTGTGGTCAAGTAAAGGGAGGGAAGGAACTGACTGCCCCTTGTTAACATGAGAAAGAAGGAATAGAGTGGCTTAATCTCAAAGAAAATATGGCTACAATAATGATTTTTTGTAAATATTATGTGAATAGTTGCATGCTGAAATTCACCAGAGTGATGTTTGGAACAGAATCCTGGCTGAAGTAGCTTGAGCAGAAAATTTAAATTTTAAATTGGAGCTTGATGCAATTATGTGGATTATTTGAGGTTGCTGCCTTCAGTGGTTCTGTAGAAGACTCCACAGAAAAAGAAAGTGTTTATGTTGGCTGTGGGGCATAGTGTTAACAAGCATTTATTAACAACCTAAGTGATGACTTCCTCTGTTATCAAATGCAAAAGTGTCTCTTTAAATGTGAAGCTGTGATAAAAATAGCTCTAAAGCTAGATTTACTTATTCAAGCTAGTATTACTTGAGGCAATTCAAAAGTCCTTACTGCTTTTTGTATCAAGTAGGTTAAGCAGACCTAAATTGATTTTTAGCAATCTTTTGTTTGCCAAGATTGGTCGGGGTGCAGCAGGAGGCATGTGGGCAGCCCCAGGTGCAGTGCTGAGGGTCAGCTCTGGCTGGGTTAGTGCCTTAAGGCTGTTGGCTGTTTCCTATTCCTTCCTGTTCCTTCAGTTTTCCCAAGCTTTCTACAGGAAAGGCTGAGGATTGACAATCTTCTCACTTCTTTCTGGTATCTTTTCATGCCAGTTCTGTCAACTTATTCTCATTAGTCTTTTTGAGCAACTGTTATTTATTCCTTAGAACCTTTCTGGTTTTTTGGTTGGTTTTTTTTTTCCCACCACCTTCTACAGTGTGCTTCCTCTCTCCTCCCATCACTTGTGATTTTTGTGTTTTAGGTTAAATTTCACCTCTTCTAGTAACACAAGCTCTTGAATCTCTTTCTCACCGTGTAAGCTATTCTCTTGAATAATTCTTAGTTTAAATTTGAACCTAGTAGAACAAGATAATACAGCTAACCCAGATCGAATAATACTTTAAAAAATAGAATTATATTAAATATTTCCTGTTTTCCCTGGATATGTTTTATCTGAAGTATTCATTTCTGTGTCCTGCCATATTGACATGAACTAGACAAATATGACTATGTACAATTTTTAAATTATAGTATAAAAGAGCAAATGCAACAAAAAATTTACAATCTAATAAAGATCATAACACCTAAATACAGGCATTTTTTTGATTCTGAATATATATAATTTTATTGTCTTTGTCATCAAAGGTACTAAGTTTAGAATGTGTTTCTTCAGAATGCAGTGTTTACCAAGAGTTATTATTTGAAGGAGAAAAGCTGCAGTTGTGACAATAGTCCTCTACTGCATTTACTTGATAATCTTACTTGCTTTCCACAGCCCTAATTGCCTCCCATCCAACAAATCACAGTAATGCTTTTTATTCAATATTCAGATTTTATAGGTCATAACCTATGAGAAAACCTATCTGCAATGTCTCCACCAAAGTTTGGGAAATGCCACCCATTTGGTAAAGCGTGGTCAGAGTACAGAGCACGATGACTTCATGTGCTGGTGACCTGCTTCTCCCCATCATCCTAGCTGCTGAGAGCTGTGTGCTTATTTTCATGTGCTGGCATCTTGTGCTCTGTGAGCCAGAGTCCTTAATTCCTCAGGAAGCCATGGCATCTGCAGATGTCAGCTTGGTGCAGGCCCACAGGTGTGCAATGATGTTATCTGCTGTAATGTGGACACTGCTGAATTATTGCCACTGGCTACACGATTATTTATTTCAGGCCATTTTTGGTTGTACAGCATGTGCAGCTTTCCATATATCTGACTGAAGGAAAAAAACATAATAAGATAAGGACAAACTATCCTAGACTGTCACTTCTTCAAGTGCTGCCCTTCAGGTATTTTCGTTCTCTCTGTTTCTCTGATTCTGCAATTGAATCACCCAGCCTATTTTTCCTGACAGATTGCTCCTGCAAAGCAAAGGCCAGTGCACTGTCAACTTCAGTTTTGAAAGTTCAAACTTACACTTACTGTCTTGGGGGATATTGTCTGGCCTGATTCTGGTATATTCTGTGTAACTTTAGCTCTCCCTCTAGCTAACTCTAGTTCCTCTTGCATGGAATTGTCTGCTCCACAGGTTTTCCTTAGCATGGTAACATTTTCTAAACTTTGTAAACCATCAGACTGTCTATTCTACAGCTTCATTTTGTTTAATGAGAGTGGACTTTAATCTTCCCTTAAATTACAGAGGATTTAATTTCTGAATACATTTTCAGTAGTCACAGTGTTCTTATTGTCAATATGCATTGAGCTTCAGTGTCTCATCTGTGTATGAGTACAAGAGAGAAAAAAATGTTTCACAGTGTGTATATTTACTCAGAACAGGTAAAGCTGAAACAGCTGCCATTGCCATGCTCTCCTCAGACCTCTGCTTTGACCCCCTTTTCCTGTGCCTGGTGTCAGGCTTTGCCAAGCTGCAGTTGTTTTCCATGGAATTGGCCCCAGTGGCTGGCCTGCTCTGGCTGCTTCTCTGACTGAACAGCTGCTTGCCACTGGTACACCAATGGAGAAATAGGATTTTTTTTGTTTGTTTGTTTGCTTTGGCAACCCTCCTTTATACACTTCGGGTGTTTCTAGGTCATGTACCCAGGAGCTTGTCTAACTACATGGTTGCATTGTTTCCTAGTGGATAGTATGTTACTGTAAAAACCTTGCTTTACTTGCATTCTAAGACTCACCAGGGGAACATTTCTGAACAAAATTCTATTAGTGTGTTAGTGTTTAAAGGAAAAAAAAATTAAAACTAGACTAAACAGAAAAAAAAAAATTCTCTATGTGTTCATCTCTTGAATGTTGCAAGTAGAGTATATTTGGTCATTCTTTTTCTAAAAGAGTGTAATCAAGCTGTACAAGGTTCAGGAGCAAGCAGCAATGACCAGATTTGGGAAGTGGCTTCTTGAGGAGAAAAATCGGGGTTAAACAGCTCTTATGGGTAACCCCATGCTGGGGAAA